CTGGCCTACTCCGTGGACCCCAACGGGAACAAGGGACTGCTGCTGAAGGGCCCCAGCCACACCATCGTAGAAACCATGATGTAAAAAAACAAAACAAAAAAGCGAGAGCGCGGGGTGGAAAGCTCTCCATGAGCTCGCTCTCCTCTCCTGCCGGCCTCCCAAGCTTCTCCTTAAGCTAACGCTAAATAGACGCCTTTTGTTTTTCCGTCTGTTTGTCTGTCTGTCTGTCCGTTTCTGGTGGAATGAAGAAAAGGAAAAAAAATGGTTTAGAGGAAGAAAATTTCAAAATAGCCTTTTAGGAATACTTCATGAAGGAAGTTGCTTTTTCTTCTTCTGGACTAGAAGGCGACCTCGGAGTCCTGGAATCAAAAGTTCAGAGTTGGACTGAATCCCAAAAAGAAAGCCGATTGTGGCGAGAATGTTTACGGCACACCAAGTGTGTCAAGTGGTGGCGACCTTACACCCCGCAGCCGCCAAATCATCCAAATGTCCAACCGGGGATGTCCAAAGTCCCAATTTTGGACACTTCTGACCATCGTTACTGGGGAACTTGAACAAATCGCACGTAAATTGGTTGACAAAGTCTCAGGGGCTTGAGCCACAAAATGAAGAGGATGACAAAAATTTGGGGTTGGAAGCAAGCAAATTGGAATTAAGGCCATGTATTTCGTTCCCAAATCCAATTTATGAAAGCAGAAAAACATTTCCAGGACCTGAGCCCTAAATTGTAGCAGCCATTTTGTAGCTGGCGCCAGTATTGGTTTCGATTGGTTGCCATGACAACAAACACATTTTTTTTTTTTTTTTTTAACCAATTCCAAAAGTACAAGCAATAGTTTGACCAAATCCTCACAGAGAATTTGGCTAATTCGCAGTCAGGGCAATTGGCTGCGATAAGTTTCGAAATTCGTTTCATGTGTGAAAATGTCTTCAGGACTATATCGAGAATGAATTTGAAGTCAGCCATTTTCGAGCTCCTGGGCAGGGGATTTGGCCAAATTGCACAATTCGGAATCAGGGATACTTGAAAGTTGGACCATTTTTGCCTCTGTCAAAGTTTTTGATGATTTAGCACTGCCATTTGGGTAAAAATGTTCGATTTGAGGCCAATCCCAAGTGTCAAAGCATTGACAGAATTTTTGCAAAGTAAATCGTAATTCGGGATATGTTGCCACGGTTATTTTGCTTTCAAAGCTGCAATTTTCCAACGGTGGGACATTATGTGACTTGGCTTAATGAATTTGGCCAAATTAAAGTTTCAAATTGCCGATTATTTTTGGCCAACTTCTAGAATCGTCCAAATCAGAATCGGCGATCCTCGACACCTGGGCAAAAGGTGCTGAATTTGACGTTTTTTTTTTGTTTATTTGGTTTAGTATCATGCGAAACATTTTGTGGTTCCAAAATTTGGGACATGTCGAAGTATGCTTGACATCCTACAAACAAGTGAAGGTTTTCTTTCAGGGTGGCCAGAAGTGTCGTGGGCTGGTGGGCCTCCTCAATAGTCACTCAAAACCAAAATCATCGCAACACAATTTTTTTCCACCAAAAATTTGGACAAGCCTGGTGGCCCGAACTTGAAAATCGGTTTTTGCTGCACTTGCTAACCATTTTTATACGTGACAAATCAAAGCTCTAAAAAGCCAAAAAAAAACAAACCCTTAAGCGAAAAATCCGCTGAATGTGTAAGTCTGAAAACTCCAAACCAGGATGCTGGTTGTGAAACGCACCTTAACGCACACAATGGCCATAAACGCCGTACCCCAAGAGATGAACCCTGAACGTTTGTCGTGTTTCATGGTAGCTGATTTATTTCGTTCTCTCGCTCGATATCTCGCTCTCGTAGATCCGCTTTAGCCTCCGATCGGACTCAGGTGGTTCCCCCCCACCCCGACCCCCCCCACCCCGTGCCGAGAAGCTTCAATTTGTATCATGATTGATATTATTAGGATTAGTCCCTCTTCTGTCGATGTTCTCTTCGGACTGTCGTGTTCCCTGTTTTCACTGTGAATGAGGAGTTAAGTTGGACCATTTTTGCCTCTGTCAAAGTTTTTGATGATTTAGCACTGCCATTTGGGTAAAAATGTTCGATTTGAGGCCAATCCCAAGTGTCAAAGCATTGACAGAATTTTTGCAAAGTAAATCGTAATTCGGGATATGTTGCCACGGTTATTTTGCTTTCAAAGCTGCAATTTTCCAACGGTGGGACATTATGTGACTTGGCTTAAGGAATTTGGCCAAATTAAAGTTTCAAATTGCCGATTCTTTTTGGCCAACTTCAAGAATCGTACAAATCAGAATCGGCGATACTCGACACCTGGGCAAAAGGTGCTGAATTTGACGGTTTTTTTTTGTTTGTTTGGTTTAGTATCATGCGAAACATTTTGTGGTTCCAAAATTTGGGACATGTCCAAGTATGCTTGACATCCTACAAACAAGTGAAGGTTTTCTTTCAGGGTGGCCAGAAGTGTCGTGGGCTGGTGGGCCTCCTCAATAGTCACTCAAAACCAAAATCATCGCAACACAATTTTTTTCCACCAAAAATTTGGACAAGCCTGGTGGCCCGAACTTGAAAATCGGTTTTTGCTGCACTTGCTAACCATTTTTATACGTGACAAATCAAAGCTCTAAAAAGCCAAAAAAAAACAAACCCTTAAGCGAAAAATCCGCTGAATGTGTAAGTCTGAAAACTCCAAACCAGGATGCTGGTTGTGAAACGCACCTTAACGCCCACAATGGCCATAAACGCCGTACCCCAAGAGATGAACCCTGAACGTTTGTCGTGTTTCATGGTAGCTGATTTATTTCGTTCTCTCGCTCGATATCTCGCTCTCGTAGATCCGCTTTAGCCTCCGATCGGACTCAGGTGGTTCCCCCCCACCCCGACCCCCCCCACCCCGTGCCGAGAAGCTTCAATTTGTATCATGATTGATATTATTAGGATTAGTCCCTCTTCTGTCGATGTTCTCTTCGGACTGTCGTGTTCCCTGTTTTCACTGTGAATGAGGAGTTGCGCACAAAAAAAAAAAAAAACCCTGCTGTACAAAAGGCATGGATAAAAGTATTGGGACAAGGACTCAAATACACTGGGATGGTTGTGGGGGCGCCGGGGGTGGGAGCAATTACACAAGCTCCTTTTGAAGACGCAGTATGACACTCACCGTGATGTTTCCGTGGCAATGGGCATCACCCGGAACAGAAAAAAAGACATTTTGGCAGGGGATGTTGGACAAAAGTTAAAAGAACAAAAATGTGGAAATTCGGTCACAAATAATTGGGAAAAAAAAAAATCAAAGTAGGGTTAATTTTTGTCTCAGGGCATACACATTATCCAACGGTAGGCAAGTGCCCGTTCATGTTAGAATTGAATTTCTGCTCCGTATTAATCGCCGTCGGCTGCGGCGGGGGCACTGCGCATTTCAACATGACAAACATAACCAAGACGACAGGAAAATTTGGCAAACAAAAGAATGTTTTGTTTTTTTTATGATGGAAAAGTCTTTCCCGTTTGACTAACGTGCGCCAACCTCTGCTCTGTATTCAACTCCGTCCAGTGTTAACCACCCCAGCACCACCAAATGTGAAATGTCTCAATACTTTTGTCTACAAAGTTGACTTTTTTCTTTTGATCCGCACCGTCTTGAAAAGAATCCACCCCACCCGTCACACACGCACACACGCTAACACTAAGCTAATATCGCGATAGCACCGTGCTAACATGCTAGCATCGCTAAACAACGTTCTTGACGGCGCAACACATATCCATCATTCAAAGTCATTTCCTTCAATAAATAGTTGACATTGTGATTGATGTGTGCTAGCCAAAACGTTCATCACTGCTTTTTACCCTCAAAGAAATGTACTTTTTATGCTTTAAAAAAAGTAGTGCACATTTTCCTCAAAGAGTTCATATCGATGGTTTTCCCCTCATAGTGATACATAATTACATTTCTCCCCAAATAAGCAGCCCTCACTTTTAACCAATGATTCATATAGACAGTATTTTTCCTCAAGTAAATCGTTCATATCAGTGTTTACTCCTCAAATAAATTGTTCGTGCTGTAACGGCGTTTTTCCTCAGATGAAGACCTCATTTTCTTCATCACAAGTTGCTAGTTGTTTTTTTTTAAACTGTCAAATGTATTTTTCCCCTAAATTCATAGAACACAGATGATCAGCGCGTAATTGTTTTCTCAAATAGAAACCTATCATTTTTACTCTTCAAATAAATTGCTTTTTCACTTCAAATAAATCTTGTGCTCCCCGCAAACAAGTAAAGAAGGTCATATCAGTATTTTTTGTACTTGGATCATGAATATTCTCCCCTCAAATGTCACATTGCGCCCTGAAGTATAGTCCCTATTTTCCTCAAATACTTTGTTTCAATTGAATTTTTCCTTAAAACACTTCATATCGCATTTCATTTTTTTCCCTCCAGTAAATAGCCCCCTTATTGTCCTTTCCTCAAATAGATGCAGTTGCTGATGTAATTTCAACTGAAAAGTGTTTAAAAATGAACAAAGTTTCTTTTTTCTCAAACAACCGCCATCACGAAATCCACCGCAGGCATTTGTGTTCCTCCTTTGACACATCGTCTTTGTAATAACCGCTCAAAAGTTTCGCACTCTCGTCGGCGGTCCGGAACTTTGCGACGCCGCTACCGATCGCAGCTAACGACCAAACGTCAAAGAGTGAAAGAATATTTGGACATTTTGGTGCTGACATCTTCATGGATTCCCTCGCTTGCGTGTTTTCTTATCTTGCGATATCCTGTCACTCACGTCTGTCGCGTGTAATAACTTATTTGAAAAGAATTTGCCGTAGTGTTTAGCCGGAATGTCCGCTGAGCCGCAGTATTGCCTGGCTGGGTCTTGACTCGATGCTGGCCCCTAGCGGGGCGGACGTTTGGGATCAAGCCAGCTGACGTTTTTCGTTCGACACCATCAAAGCGAAAAAGCACATTTGCGCTGCTCGTCGTCGTCATCGGCATGATCGTCAGCCTCATCCCATTCACGGTTTCCGTGGTGACGGCGTGATGAGAAAACGCCAAAACGGTTTTCAGCTTTTTTTCTTCTGTGTTTCCTTCCAAGTCATCTGTAAACTTGAAAAAAAAAAAAAGTGTTGATCAGGTTTAAGAAATGTGGATACATTGTTTTTTGTTGTTTCTTGATTAAAAAAAAAGTCGCAGCAGTTTGTCTTGTGTTTATTTCTCTGTCATAAAAACAAAGCGACATGTTTGGAAAGATTTTTTTTGTTTGTTTGGGCGGGGGTCCGATTTTGTTTGAGACAAAGGTGTTTTTGCCAACAAACGTGGATAAACTTTGAGAGATTTGGACACAAGTAATGGGACCCCAAATACAAAAAAAGTCAGCCAAAGTATTAAACCCTAAACCAACTTTGAAACCCTAACCTCAGTTTTGAAACCAAATGACTACCACTTCACAAAGCCACCATGCCTTGCAAAAAAAAATGGACAACAATCAAGTCTGACTTTTTATTTTGCACATGACAATTCTCCTTTCTTCTCTTTGCTTCCCACGTTTGGTAAGAGAACATTGGTAGTAGAAAAATATTATATAACACGGGAGCTTTACACAGGCAAAATGACACCTTTGGAAAGCCCAATCTGGAATTCGGAAGAAGCTTTGCTGACTTTTAGTGCTTCAGTCATATCAAAACATTCAAAACAACAACAACATTGACTCGTAAACAAGACCCACAGTCCATCCAAGTTACACAACTTCAGATCAACAACAAACACAGAAAAGTATAACATTATCCAGAGTATTTTTTTTTCTTCTTTGTAAAAAAAAATAAAAATAAAAAATATGCGTTTGTGTGTGTGTGTGTATATTTAGAGAGAGAGAGAGAGATTTAGAACAATTACACAGCCTCCACTAGCCTCTTAATGCTATAATGCTAACATACAATGGGAAAAGGCCATAGGCACGTGGGCTTAAAATGAGCATCTGCGTGGTGATGGTGGCGTTACACTTGAAGCCACGGAGATCTGAACACAAATGTGCAGCAGCACATGTAGACAGATAACGTAACAATACCTACAGACATATATTCTTCATCCTCTGCAAAGAACAACTCATATTTGGAGCCGAGAGAGAGTGCGGAATATGCTGGGTTTCTTTCTTTTACTGCCCCCAGGTGGCCAAGGCACGCACACGCAAATGAGCAGCATAATGTGCATTGGATGACAAAGCAATTCATATCATGACTGTGTGATTTTGTTCAGTCGAATATTAAACACTACGCATGAAAAAAAAAACCCGTTTATCATCTTGGAGGAGCATATCTGCATATCATTTAAAACAAAGTGAAGTCACAAAAAGTAATCATACTTCAGGGCTTTTCTTTTTTTTTTTTTTTTTACCCCACACTGTAATCATTTACTTCCAGATTGGGCTTCAAACGCAACTTTAACATTTAGATGCATAGGGAACCACCCACACACCCACACACGCACGCACACGCACACACACAAACATGTGCACCCGCACACATTATAAATACATGAAAAATGACACAACACTTCTGGAAGGCTTTTCTCAGTCACTTGTTTTTGTTGCTTTACAAAATGTGAATGTAAAAATTCATGCCTATATTTACACTACATTGTATTGGACGCCGATTTGTGCTTTTTTTCAACAACACACACACACATGTCCACACACTGTCATTATTTACATGTAAACCTACATACAGCATTCTGGCGTACACGCACACTCGGGGTGTGGCGCTGAACTAACTTGGGGATGCGTGCAAGGGAGAGTGGGTGCACCAATTCTGTAGGGCTGTTAGTAGTGGTTACGCGATTTGTAAAGGTGGAGAGAGGGTGCGCCTATTAGGCGATCCTTGACTAATGGACGAGAGAGTGTAAACTCGAGAACGAGTGGAAGTTGTGAATGTTGCCGTTGACGTGTGAAGTGTTTGTTCACGTCAGCCAGCTGGGGTGGTGGAGTGGTTAAGGATGAGGGGTGAGAGGGGGTGCGCGGTGAGTGTTATCAGGTGAGCGAGTTCATGTGACGGGCATGTGGGCCCCTCTTAGCGCCACTAATCCACAAATAATTGCCTCCACGAGGGCGACGTTCCGGAAGAAAACAGCAGCAGGTGACGTTGATGTAAAGCTCCAGGAAGGAATGTGTGGGACTAAAAATATGGTTGGGGGTGGGTGGAGGGGGCCGGGGTAGGAGAAGAAGGTGCCGGCCGGTGTGTGTGTGTGCGTGTGGGGCGGGGCGGGGGAGCACTTGAGGCGGACCTCATGATTCCGTAACTTTCCACACAGATAAGGAAAGCCTCAAAAGGCAGGAAGCACTTATGCATCGAAGAGGCCTGCAAATTCACTGGTTGCCACGGTAACCATCACATATTTTGGGGGGCACCTGCATAAACCCCAAAGTGAAATCAAGAAAATGCGGGGCTGAGACAAATATATCGGGACATCGACACATATGGTAAAGGTATCCATGGACTGAACATAATTATTGGGACATAATCAGGAAGTCAAAAAAAATAGACAGAATTTGGACAAAAGTATAGGGACAGCTACAATTTGTGGAAAATATGGCATTTGGACAACTTACTGCGCGTCAAACTCTGCAAAGAGCGCGTCCCTAACACCTTTTTCCATACAGTGTATCAAAGACAGTAAAAAAAAAAAAAAAAAGTTGTGATGACATCATGGCACGGTGCCTTCAAGGTGACACACTCTTGTTGTGCTGCAGTGCACGGAGCAAAGTTTTCCCGGGCCCTCCGGTGGAGTTGCAGTGTTTGTGCGAGTTTAGCAGCGATGCGGACGTCCGCGAAGACTCCGCAGTCAGCGGGGACGTCATCCTCATGACGCAGGTGTTTAAATCCTCAGGTTGGTGGTGGTTTGTTGGGTCTCAGGGCATCAGTGGAAAAAGCACGAGGCAGAACCTGGTGCTCGTCGGCTGGAAATCCATCACGCTGCAAAAACTAGACGACAAAAAAAAAAAATGAGAAAAAAGTGGAAATGAGGAATATATTACAGAAGTGTCGAAAACATCCTCATGACGCAGGTGTTTAAATCCTCAGGTTGGTGGTGGTTTGTTGGGTCTCAGGGCATCAGTGGAAAAAGCACGAGGCAGAACCTGGTGCTCGTCGGCTGGAAATCCATCACGCTGCAAAAACTAGACGACAAAAAAAAAAAAATGAGAAAAAAGTGGAAATGAGGAATATATTACAGAAGTGTCGAAAACAAAACTTGAATGCGGTACATTCCATTAAATTCGGTCATTCCTTCATGTTCTATAAAGTGCAAAACTGTCGAACAAAACTGACAATACAATTTATTGAGGGCAGCTGGAACGGATCAATGGCATTTCCATTACTTTCAAAGGGAAAAGATGATTTGAGGAACAGTACAAGTGGCGTGATCATCAACAAGCGTGGTGCCGCCGTATCAGGTTTTTGCCGTCATAGGAGTGCTCGGAGGGAAACCGGAACTACGACAAAGATGAGATTGACAACTCCAGTCCAAAGTATTTGGTGTCCCGAGACCTGACAAAGGGACAAACAAACCTGACTGGCTGTTTGTTGCTTGTGCGCTACAGGTCCAGGGGGTGGTGGTCCAGCGTGTTGTTGTTATCCTCGGCGCCGTCCAGCGGGTTGCGGCTGATGACCAGCTCCAACCGGTCGCCGGCCTCCGTGATGAGCGGCACCGCCAGGCAGCAGTCAAAGTCCCGAGTCCTGACGTGGTTGACCTAAAACGGAGACCAGAGGTGGTCTCGCAAAATGTTTGGGATCTCGCTTGGGCTTTCAAGTCAAATTTTGAAATGAGTTTTAGCCAAGAAAATCGGAAAAATTGACAACATCAGTCTGGCTTGGGTCAAGTCACGACAAACTTGAAGCCTTCGATGACGATCGCTAGGGTGAGGAAAGTGATCGGCGATACCTGAAGGATCCTGTCGTAGGGCCGGAGGCCCGATCGGTCGGCCGGCCCATCCGCTCGGACCATGTTGACATAGACGCCCTTTTCCAGGAAGCCGTCGGACACGCTGAAGCCAAAGTCGTCACTTTCGGGATCTTTGATCACGGTAACCTGCAGGGGATGAAACAAGAATGGACGTCACTGCCGAGTATCAATTGCAGGTTTTTGGTTCTTGCTCAAGGCAATCGCGGCAACCACCCAGAGCCAAGTCTCCATCACAAATACTTCGATTCAATGTTCGGCTTCCGGGTTTGTACATTTCAGCTCATTTCTCCCCCAAAACGGTTCTTGCCCAGGACGATCAGAAGAGGCTCTACCCCAGGGGTGCCCAACGTGTGTTGGAGGAGGGAGACATCTTAATAAAGAGGTTAGGTCGGGGCTCTCGAGGGCCGGACTTGGGCGTCCCTGCTCTTGGCTGTCACTTTGCAACGTAACCGGTGCTGTCGAAATGCGGCTGTAAATGTTAAGATTCGTCGTCGTAGGGTCAAGTTCAAAAGAAGAATGTTCAGAAACTGCGCAAATCCCGAATGGGGCTGCTCCCAACGTCCTAGCGGGAAAGCTCGCACTCGTGAATGTAAGCGAAGGCATTCAATTCATTCTTGTACCAACGAAACCGATCGAGCTCCGTCAGGGCTCTCGTGTGAACTGACTTTGTGCAGCTCCAGAGGCGTTGGGGACAAAAGCCCTTGCATCTCCTCCTTGATGCGGCGCGACTCCCACGTCCTTTCCGAAACCCTCAACGAGGCTTTGGACTTGGCTTCGTGGTGCACGAGCGGGGGCATGTTGTCCTGGAGGAGGTGCGCCCCCGCGTGGAGCAGCTCATCCGGGTGGAAGCGGACCTCCAGGCGGGCATCTGCGAGGGCGGGCCGTAAAACACTCATGACCGACCACTCTCCCACCACCAGAAGAAAAGATTTTTTCAGTCCAAATGATGGATCTTTATCCGAGACGCCTGACTCCCTTTGACTCAGGTGTCTCGGAGGAGGGAGCGATCTCAAAGCTGTTGGAAAGGGGCCGTCGAAGACCGGGCCCGGAGCCCCTTTGGCCTAAGTCTAAGATGTAGTTTTGGCAAGGCCCACCTTCACGGTCGCGCAGGTGCAGCTCGTCGTGCAGGTGCGCCCCCTGGTGAAGGAGGGAGTTCCGCTGCAGGGGGCTCATCCGGCCGTGGCTGAGGATGGGATCGCTCGGGGCTTTGTTGACGCCTTCCACGCCCAAACTGATGGCTGTGCCGGTCATGATTGATGCCTGCCAGAAACCAAACACGTTATCATGCCGGGATACGGCTTGAAGGTTTCTATTCATCGTAACAGCGATGCTCATTTCTGTTAGCCTATCGATAGCTTTTCGCATGATATGCTAGCAGTAAGCCGGAGGCCTTTGATTAAGACGAAATTGTATGATTTGTTTGCACAGTTTGGTGTTTGATTCTCTCCCTTCAACTAAAAAGTTACTCGTAGTACTTTATAAACGTCACGGAGCTTTGCGCTAAATGTTAACTGACCTCGATCTCTCTGAGCAGCTCCGATTGGCCGCAGGTCTCCAGGTCCTCCAGGGCCTGACACCAGAAACTGTCGTCGGGGTCCAGCAGAATTCCGTCCGATGGTTGGCCAAGGAAACTGAGGTGTTGATTTCGTTGAATTTTTTTGTTTTCAAAAATGAAGTTCCAATTTTGCGGTCTCACCCCAACGGTTTTTCCCACTCGTCCTCGCTGAATCCGCCGTCGCTGAAGGGGTAGTTCTTCCGGCAGCCAGGTGGGGGCGTCGTGCTGCGGTGGTGCTGCTGCTGCTGCTGCTGCTGCTGCTTAGCACTGCGCCACTCGTGAGGGTGAAGGGCCATGCCGGTGGACGCCTGGTGGTTGTACGTGCCTGTGCCGTGTAGCATCAATAGAAATAAGGACACTTGCTCTTGAAATATCTTTCTTTAAAATAATCAGCCCCCCCCCCCCCACAATAGAGCTACCCTGGCTGCAGTATCCGGCATCCAGGCCGGATCCGTCCCAAGAGTCCATGGCAGAGTCGACACTGGGGACAGTCGTGGCGTAAAGTTCCGACAGTTTGTTGGTCTGCTGGCTGTCCGTCAAGTCGGTCAAGTCGTCGTCCTCGCCGGCGCTCAGCTCGTTCTCCGTGGCTTCGTCTGCCTCGCTCGCTTTGCGATCGTCCGGGTCTTACCGACAAAAAGAGACAAATTGAAATGAGATCAGAAAGCTTTAACGTGTCATTTTAATAAGGCGGGTACAACGAAATTGGGGCGCACGTCCAAGTCCGTGTTCTCAAATTCACAACTTTGCATTTCGTAAAACTTGTGCGTCGACATAGTCAGGCAGGTTTTGGTCCATTTGCGGCCTGGTAGCGATTTTTGACCTTAAAAACTCAGGAAATGTTTTCACGTGTTCATCTTAATGACATGTCAACTTTTGTAAGAATTGTGAATGTTTTTGCCCCAAATTAGTTACGCGGCGGAACCGGAGTTCTTTCAAAAGAAATTTTGTCCCAGAAGCCAGTTTCACTTAGGCTGCTGAAATTTGGTAGCCATGTCCATCTTGACCCACAAAAACGTTTGAAGAAGCCATGTCTGAAAAGATGCAGGAAGTTGTGAATATTGGTAGGAAGCAGCCATTTTAGGGTCATCTTGACTTTCAGGGAACCTTTACAAACTTATCTTTGGGGAATAATTTGGAAATTCAGCCTCGGAAGCCAGTTTCATTTAGCACCATGAGATTTGGTAGATTTATCTTACATGAGTAGACAGACCCACGAAAAAAGTCTCCGGAAGCCATGTCTGAAAAGATGGAAGACATTGGCAATTTTACTTTTAAGTGCCCATATTAATTGATGTGATGACTCACTGTGGTTCCCCAAAACAACCCCACAAAATGGACTCAGTAGTTGAGGAAAAAAAGAAAAAAAAATTAATCTGGAGCCACAAGTTTCACCAAACAACACCAACTAGGTTGGGAATATTTACCATGTTGGGATACGCGAAAAAAAGTCTCAAGGACCCATGCCTGAAATTGAATAGGAACTTAAGTTTGAAGCAGCCATTTTGGATAAATTCCAGAGCCGGAACTCGCACCAACTGATCATTTGTCATCTCTCGTTTCTCGCGTTGACGTCTGCTCGGGCTAAAGTTCATTGTTATCATCGTGATGGTCATCATCACAATCACGATCATGTTGTCTTACTGTCGATCATCTTCTTGATCTTGAGCGTGACGGTCTCTCCGGCCATCTGCAGCAGGTGAATGGCCTCGCTCAGGGGTTTGCCCTTCAGGCTCACGCTGTTGATGGCCAGGATGCGGTCGCCTACGTGGATGGCGCCCGTTCTGGTCACACACACGCACACACACACACATAACTTCCTGTGTGGTCTATCTTCTTAATGCTGACATTTGATGTGTGTTTGTTTGTTTGTTTGGGTTCAACTTCCTGTCTCCACTCTTTATAGTACACTGGAACGTTATGGGAATATTATGTTTTTCACATCGGACATCATGGAAATGGAAATGAACTGAGCCAGGGTCAAAAAGTGGCCATTTATAATAATACACACAAACAAAGGGGAAAAAATATCAGCAAAATCTCCTAAATTGTTGCTAAGTAGACAAAAAGTCAAGTTTTTAAACATGGCGTGGATGTTCGGCAGCAGGGTCAGAGCAGGGTGCGTGTTGGCCTTCCAGACTATTTGAGGTAAAAAAATACTGACAACTTTTTTTTACATTTGACGGTATTAAAATAAGACACAAGATTTCACTCTTTAACAGTTGAATTTGATGACGTTTACTCAAGTGACCAATATTATCAAAAAAAGTCATTCTTGTGTACAACTGTGACAAAGTCTGTGAATACGACAACCACTTCGCAGTGCGTGCGCACCTTTCAGCCAAGCCTCGTTTGGTGAGTCCGGAGATGGTGATGGGGTCAAAGGGTTCCTCCGTGCCCGAGATGGTGATGCCCAGTGGGCCTCCGTAGCGCTTTAGTTCCACCGTGTAGATGATACTGCCAGACGTGTCCTGCTCGTCTGGTACACGTACGCCCGCACACAGACAGACAGACAGACAGAGATACACACACACACACACACACACACACACACACACACACACACACACACACACACACACACACACACACAAAGATTGCAGTTCTCCAGTCCCCTGATTGGTCCTTCCTGTCCTGCAATGTCTGTTTTTTTCTGTTTTACCTGACTATAAAACATCTCTACAAAATTATAAACAGCCCTCAGTTTATGGTTAAGGGGCGATGTGGCATGTTGATGTAATTTTCACAGAGCTAGTAATGGTACAAATTGGCCATAGTGGTAATAGAAATTGCGACTTTTCTTTTCGTTAAAATCAACAACTTTCTTCGATTGAAAATAAAAAATGGCGACGTCTTCATCGTCGCGGAAGTCGACTTGTGGCCAACAGCGTCACTGTGTGGACAACTGCGGAACTGCACATTGTCAAGAACGTGCAGTGTGGTTGTTTTTTTTTTTTTTTTTTTTTTTTTTTTTTTTTTTTTGTCTTTATGGGGTGGCGTCCGGGTGACGAGGCCTCACCCGAGTTGTCCTCGTCCTTGCGGATCTTGAGCTTGACGAGCTCCTCGCACTGCTGCAGGATTTGTTCGGCCTCCACCCGGGAGCAAGTCTCCAGACGCACGTTGTCGATACACAAAAGTTTGTCGCCTGGCTCCAGAGTTCCTGTCCTAAACGAGGGTAAGGCGAAACTTATTACTCGTCCTCCGAAATTTAGAGTGGGACAATTGCAAGCTCTCATCTGATTACTAAGGGTACATGACAAGAGAAATGTCGAGTGTTTTATTTATTTAAGGAAAACGTCATTTTCTCGAAAATGGACGACTCATAATTTCGTGGCATATAAAGATATCACGACTATGTTGGGAAAATACAACTTTATTCTTGTAAATGACTTTTTATCCTGACAAAACACACCATTGATGATGATGATGATGATGATGATGAACTACTTACCTGTGTGCCATGCTGCCCTTCTTGATGTCGGAGATGATGAGAGGCTCTCCCGCCTTTTTATTGGCTGCAGATAAAGAACCAAAAATCAGGCGATGAAAAAAATCAAATAAAAAGGTCCCACAATCTTGAGAAGCAGGACTCTATTTTGCCACATGAGGGCGCAATTGCATTAACTCTGAGCTGTGGACAGTGAGCCTCCAAAAATGGAGTTAAAGCTGGATTTCAAAGCATCTCATCAAGAGAGACTTCAGTTCAGCGAGCATCCCCGATCTTTTGGGATGTTTGGCTTCTAATTGGACGCAAATGACTGCGATGACAACCAGCAATCGATCTTACCATTAACAAGTTGATGAATTGATCCAATAACTAATGAGTTACTGCCCGATGAATGAACTGGCCGACCAGTGACGCAATCAACTAACCAACTGACTGGTTAAGCCACTCACCAGCTAACTAAATGACTCATTAAACAACCGATTGACTGACTAACTTACTGATTGGCTGTATAACCAACCAATAGACAAGACTGACTGAAGGAGTGACCAAGTAACCGGCCATCTAACTTAGCAACTGACAAAGCAACTTGTCGACCAACTAACTTACTGACCAGCTAACAAAATAACTGACCAACCAACGGACCAACAGACTGACTGACTGACTGACTGATTGACTGACTAACCAGTCGATGAACCGATGGACTGACCAGCTAACTGACTGACTGAATAGGAAACATTAGAAGCGACCAACTAACTGGCGCCACTGTACACTTGGTAACCTTTGGGAACAAAAAGAGACCTTATTTTTACAACCCCAAAAACAAACATTTCCAAATCAAAAGGGTCCTTCCTTGTTCTTACCGCTGATGGTGAGTCCCAGTTCGACGCCTCTTTTCTTGGGCAGTTTGACATGAAACGTTCCGCTACTGGGCACCACGGACTCTGCGTGAAAGAAGCCCCCCCCACAGGATGTAGTTCGCCTCCACTTCCTGCCACAGGTTGAAGCGTCCTGCCCGTTTGCCACTTGACGTACGCACCTGCCACGTCAAACTCAATCTCCAGGGCGACTTTGTTGGTGAGCGCGGCGTCGCGGAGCAGCTGGTTGGCCTCCTCCAGCGTGCCGTCCTCCGTGGCGATGCCGTTGACGGACAGCAGCCGGTCGCCCACCTGCAGGAGGCCACACCTGCCGAGGAGAGACGGTTACTGCGGGGATGTCAACTAACGGACTACTCGGGCAACTAGCTATCTGACTGACAAAGTACCGAAGCACCCGGCCAAAAATACTAATAAGTAAGTAACAGACCAACTAACCGAGTGACTAACCAACTAACGGACGGATCGACCAACCAAAGGACTGACCAACTACTAACGCACCAAATGACCAAGTAATGGACTGACTGAAGTAACCAGCCACCTAAGTGACTAAAAAGCAAAAGAAAAAGTGGCTAACTGACCGGGTCAGAGACTAACTAACTAGGGAACCAACCAAATCTAAAATGATTAACGAAACAAGTGGTCAACCGACTGACCAGCTAACAAAATGATCAGTCAACCAGCCAACTGACCGACCACAAGTAACAAACCAATTAACCGACCTATCAGCAGATCAACCAAACAGACTGACCGATCTACTAACTAACAACTACCGAGTAAGTAGCCAAATGGCGGATGAGCGAAGCAACCAACAAAGACGCTAAGTCACCGACTGACTAGCTGACCAACTAACCACCTGCCTGACCACCCGATCAACTAAAGGCGATGAAAGCAGAGCATATTATAATGCTAACATGCTATGTTGCTCAAAAGAAGTCACTTTGTTTGGCTGCGTGTCAGCTTGTGGTCACATTCAATCCGGCGCGGGCCCGTCACACACACACACACACAGGAAGATGTTTACGTGTTCATCGATCCCCGCAGCTAATAAGCGCTGTTAGCGTGGGCGCTAGCAGAGCGAGTGGCCTCAGGGTATAGTGAGCCTACTCATGGTGTGGATAGTTTTTGTCAATCAATTAACACACGCACAAACCCCGTGTGCACATTTTGCTGACGTAAGCTATGAGTGACTAAAATGCGAGCGTGACTGTGACTTGTCAAAAAATAGCAACACATCAACGCCACCGTATGTGTTAGTGCTAATTCATATTTAATTCTAATAATCAATGTAACCAACAGTAGACCGAGCCTTTGCAAATGCTGCCTCGTGAGCACCTGCTTGTGGGATGTTCCAAAAAAAACAAAACAAAACAAAACAAAAGTCTATTTACTCAACAAACCTGAAGGCAGAGAAGAGAGAGGAAAAAAATAATCCAGAGAGGAGCCCCGAGTAAATATTTAGTGAGCTAGTCCGTGACGTTTTGCCCTCAGCACAAAATCACAACAGTCATTGAACAAGACAACAATGTGCTTGGGATCGAAAGCCAACATACAAAGTGAACTGCGCGGGTAGACCATCATTTGGGCGTCAAAAGCCAAAGCCAATCTACTGAATGATTAACGAATCAACTAACCAATCGACCAATCAATGGAAGAACCAACGCATAACCTCAAAATGGGGATACTGCAACTGACTGAGTGGCGCACTCACTCCAACACCGTTGCCCCCAACATATTTGCACTTCCCCTTTTCATGAGCGACGCCATTACGCTTCGGCTATTTTGGGCGGCCGCGCGGCCAATCGGGCTCACCTCTCGGCCGAGCTGTCGGGTTCGATGAATCGAATGAGCGGAGGCGCAGAAAGCGTTTCGGTGGCAAAGATTCCTCCTTGCAGCTGGACGCCAAAGCCATTGAGGGGGTCCCCCGTCAGGATGACCTCGCTCGTCTCCACGTGGACCACCTGACCGCCCGGACCCACCGAAATGGACGCCAGTGACACTGAACGCGCACACGCGCACGCACACACACACACACACACACACACACACACACACACACACACTGACCTCATTCCCAAACAAAAATTCTAACATAGCCACCGACCCGAACCCAGAAACAGTTCTTAAAACATTTTTCCCTGAATGCTCTGATCCACCCCTACGCCCAAATCTTTACTCTAACCCCAGATCTAAAACTTAATCCTAACCCTAACTAGTAAAACGAAAACTGTGCAGCACAAAAAAAAAAAAAAAAATTTAAAAAATCACATTTTCTCGAAGCCCCCCTCGTACAAACCCAACTTTAACTCCAGCGACAGTGAACAATGTCCGTGACTCCTTCAAAAGACACACATGAAACGAAGACGCGAGCGCAGAGAGAGAGCAGAGTGAGACTCACGGGAGCTTTTGTGGTCTTTCTTTCTGTGCCTGCGCTTGAGCAGCGAGTTCCGGGGGCTCATGGGGACTGCGGGCCTGGGGAGCGTGTTGGAACCCTGGCTGCTCGGGGCCGACGTGGTCGTGGAGCCCGGAGAGAAACTGGCAGACACCAGAGCTATGGATACACAGTAGGCAAAAGTAGGCACGACGCACATTTCCATATTGAGAACATACCGGAGATACGACAGTGTCTATTTCTACGAGAATAAGACGTCGTATATGCAGTGAATGTGAGCAACAGCGATAATAGTCAGCAGCATCGTACTGTATGTGTGTGTGTGTGTGTGTTTGCTCACACTTGCAGTAGTCAAGGTTATTGTTGGTGACCGCGTTGTTGTTGGAGGCGGTCCATGACTTGTGCAGGGTGGAGCTGGCGTTACAGTGGGTGGAGTTTGCGGGCGGTGGACAGAAGTTGACGCAGGGGTCCCACGAGTGAGGGTGGTCTGACTTCTGAACCTTCACTGGAACACACGCACACACACACACACACACAAAGTTTTTCTAATGCACACCTTGAACTGCCCTTCCTAGCTATCTCCCTTCCTAGTTACATGACAAGCAGGCAACTAACCAACCCAAGAGCCGAGCCACTTTATTCCAAAACCAAACTCCTCCTTGCCACCTTTTTTTTTTCTTTCTTTCTTTTTTTCCACCTCTCATCCTTTTACCACCTACTTGAATTTCTGACCTACCTACCTACAAAGTAGATTCCAACCAAACTACTAACTTATTGTATGTACCTACCAACACGAATGACTATTCAGACTCCCTTCCTCTCACCCAATTAAGACAGATTCCTCCCTACCAGCAACCAACCCACCCCAACCAACACTTTCTACCAACTGTAAGAACCATCCATCCAAATTCCTCCCCCCATACATGTTCCCTATTTTTCCTCTAACTACCGAGCAACCAACCTGCCTGCCTCCCCCACCCAAGTCTCTCTACCTGTCAACCCAACAACCAACCTACCTACCTATCAAAACCACCCAACAAACAACATACTGTACCTATAATGAACCAACCAACCATCCGAAATGTTTACATTTCCAACCCATGCAACCGGGACGAATACATGTTATCGTCTCTTGATAACCAAGGGACCTTCTGCCTACCAGCCGACCAAGATAGCAACCGGCCAAACCTAATTCTTGCTTCATCATAGAAAAGAAATCCATCAACAGAGCCAGTTGAAATGATTAGCTTTTTAAAAAACAAAACAAACAAACAAACCCCTCCCCCCCCCCCCATCTGACCTGCCCACCTTTGCCTTCCGACTATTCAAACTCCCTTCCTCTCACTCTAATAAGACAGATTCCTCCCTACCAGCAACCAACCCATCCCAACCAACACTCTCTACCAACTGTAAGAACCATCCATCCAAATTCCTCCCTCCATACATGCTCCCTATTTTCCTCTCTTACCACCTAGCAACCAACCTGCCTGCCTCCCAAACCCAACTCTCTCTACCTTTCAACCCAACAACCAACCTTCCTACCAAAGCTAGATTCCATCAAACAAACCAGCCAACCTACCTACCTATCAAAACCAGCCAACAAACAACATACTGTACCTATAATGAACCAACCAACCAACCAACCATCCGAAATGTTTACATTTCCAACCCATGCAACCGGGACGAATACATGTTATCGTCTCTTGATAACCAAGGGACCTTCTGCCTACCAGCCAACCAAGATAGCAACTGGCCAAACCTAATTCTTGCTGCATCATAGAAAAGAAATCCATCGACAGAGCCAGTTGAAATGATTAGCTTTTAAAAAAACAAAACAAACAACCCCCCCCCCCATCTGACCTGCCCACCTTTGCCTTTCTTCCATTTCCAAATCAGCAGAATCAGCAACATTCTGTTGACCGTAAATATCCCACCAGTGTCATGTTGCTTGTTGCCAGTCAACCTGGTCTGGTGGGCGGGAAGCATTTCCAGCCTGACCAGCTCGGTGGTGCTGGCCAGCAGCTGCGTGGCCTCCAGGACGCTGCAGTGCTCGGTGGACGTCCCGTCGATGGACAGCAGGTGGTCGCCGGCGTGCAAGGCTCCGCATCTGTCAACCACAAACACTGTTATGTTCTATTTAAAAAAATTCTTGCCGGGGGGTGGGGGTAGGGGGGTTAACATACCTGTCCACCACACTTCCGGGCTTGACTCGCTCGATGACAATGACCCTCTTGTTGCGATGGCTGGCTGACGTCAGCGTGATGCCGAGCGTGGCCCCCGGAGGTTTGGCCATCTCCACCAGGAGAGGACCTGACGCGTTGGTCAACGTGTCTGATTGATTGATTGAAAAAAAACTAATCACATTCAGTATCAACTCGGCGAATGGAAATAAATGGCTGTCTGCCTCGATATGTGCCCTGACACAGAGTGGCCGGCATGTGTTGTGTGCGCGTGTGACAATTGTTCGTCCAACTTTGGTGGAAAAATGCCGAAAATTGGCTTTGATGTTTTCAAAAACGTCGACGCGTGCATTTGTGTTGGTTGTGTGCGCGCACCCATGATCGTGACATCGTACTCGATGTGGAGCAGGGCTTCCTGTCCGCACTGAGCCAACACGCTCAGGGCGTCGCTGTGGCTGGCGTTGTGCAGCGGCACGCCGTCCACCGTCAGGAGGCGATCGCCAGGACGCAGTGTGCCTTCCCTGAAACACACACAAACACACACCCGCACACATTTCAAATCGGGTAGCGAGCGGACAAAATATCTCGGAGTTGGTTTTTGTCAGGACGACTGGAAAGGGCCAACATTGCACGAACATGATCTCTTCTAAAACTTCCCGTGGCTTTTCAGGCATGGCTTCCAGAGGCTTTTTTTTGTGGGTCTCCTCATGTCTATCAAATTTCAGGTTGCTCAGTCAAAGTGGCTTCTGGGGCTGAACTTTCAAAGAGCCATTCGGGAAAACACCTGGATGGAAATGGCAAACCGAATGACCCTCGAATGGCCGCTCCAAACCAAAATGGCGGTCTTCACTTATCTCTGAGCATGGCTTTTAGGGAATTTTTGGCGGGGTTGTTATCATAACAGACATGTTGCTAAGTCAAACTGTCTTCAGGGGCGAAATTTGTACGGACTTCTGAAAATCCAGGAGATACCAAAAAAATTTGGCCGCTCCAGAACTAAAACGACAGACTTCCTGCATCTTTTCAGCCACGGACGGCTTCTTGAGACTTTTTGGCGGGTCGATTCAAAGATCAACACGGCAAATACATTTTGAAACTGCTGAGTCCAAGCAGCCTCGAGGGCTGGAGAAAATGAAATCTCGACAAGTGGAGATGTTTTTCACAATTGCCATCCTCAGCGCAGGCAGCCGATGCCATGTCGCGACCGCTCCCACTTAACTTGTTGGTCGCAATATTTGAAATGTTCTCTCGCTCCATATTTTTAAGCCTTTTTCTCATCAAGGCCGGAAGAACTCTTTTAAGAGCTGCGCTGTGTGAAAGTGAGGATTAAACTTGCCTCCGACTGGCACATAAATGGGATATAAAGCAGCGTGAACGCCTCATTTCCTCCAGGCTGACCCACATTTTTGGAGGCAATTTTCCTTGCTTAACCGAGCCTCGGGCTGCGCGGACTCTTGAGGAGGAGATAGGGAGGCCGTAGCGAAAGCCGCGTCTTTGATGCTAGGGTCACTCTTGAGGAACGTCTGCCAGGTGGAAAATGCTCTGTTGAGGATGGTTGGATTCGGAAAGGACTACACTGTCTTTAATGTTCCGAAAAAGATGTGTTAAGCTTTGTTCAGGACTAGAGAGTTTTTGATGTTTAAAAAAAAATAAAAAAAAAACCAGCCAGTGTTAGTCTTTGAGGTGTTCCAAAAAATGCGCACATTAGCTTTGCCGAAGACAACAAAGACACGCAACGCCGTAATGAACCACTAAATGCACCCAAAACAGGTGGCAAATACATGCTGGAAGAAAAACATAAGATACGTAAGACAAGCGTGATATAACCGTCATCAAAGACACACAAAATAGACATCAAACGCATATGGGAAAGAAGACACGTGAAAAAGCGACAATCGCACACACATGCATCAAAGGCAGACGTCAAAAAGCAAGAAAAAAAAAAAGAAACAGGAAAGACCCGCGAAAAGGCCGTCAAAGACGGACACGGAAAGAGCTATTCAGGATGGGACATCCAAGACGCGTGAAATGTTGACTCAAAAGACGCACGTGGGAAACGTACTTTGTTGACATGACTGACAGGCGCCATGCGTGGAACAACCGACCTCAGCCACACAAATAAAAGCGGACGTCCAAGACAAGCACGTGAACAAAAAATGAACATCAACAAAAGAAAAATGGATGTCAGAGACGTGAAGAAGAAAGATGGGCGCGCAAAAGCGGACAGCAAAGACAAGCATAAAAACGGGGACCTCGAAGACATCGGATATCAAAGACACATGGAAGTGGGCAGCGCAGGTATGAAAATAAAGAGACATCAAAGACAATGTGTGTGTGTGTGTGTGTGTGTGTGTGTGTGTGTGTGTGTGTGTGTGTGTGTGTGTGTGAGATTCGCTTTTTAAAGACTCCTATTTTCATATTTTTCCGTTGGTGCTGTCCCACTTTCGCTTTCCTTTCAAAGATCCGCGACAAGAGTATAAATAGCTGGCAGTGTCATCTTGTTGGAAGCCAGGGAGGAAGAGGAAGAGGCGCACAAGATGGTGGCCACGCGTGCGTGTTTTTATTCTTCTTATTAAAGGACATCACATTCACCCTGTTGATATGCAGCATGCGTCCAGTCGCTCGCTCGCTACCTGTCAGCGGGGCCTCCGGGCCGCACGTACGTGACCACCAGGGGGCGCGACTTGTGCCAGTCTTCGTGGATGCCGCCTGGGAAGACAAAAGGTTACTCCGGCCGGAAAAACAAACTCACCGAAGCTAACGTAGCAGCGCACAGAAGCAAAAGTGAAGGACGGCTCGCGACTTCCGATGACGATTGACAACCACCAGCGCGCAGTTTGCCTCGCGAACGTTTGAATCTGCGCTGCACTGCAACGGGTCGGCGTTCGTTCTCGGGGCCGTCGATTGTTTACCTCTCACCACAAAGCCGAAGCTGCTCCCTTCTTTGTGCAAACAGATGTCGAGTTACTCCCCAGTCCCAAACAAAGTCAACCGAAGCTAACGTAGCAGCGCACAGAAGCAAAAGTGAAGGACGGCTCGCGACTTCCGATGACGATGACGATGACAACCACCAGCGCGCAGTTTGCCTCGCCAACGTTTGAATCCGCGCTGGACTGCAACGGGTCGGCGTTCGTTCTCGGGGCCGTCGATTGTTTACCTCTCACCACAAAGCCGAAGCTGCTCCCTTCTTTGTGCAAACAGATGTCGATCGTCTTGGAGATCACACCCGATGTGCTGTCTGGCGCTGTGAAGATAAAATGAAATCACTGAAGTCAGAAGCGGTTTTGTAAAAATGGAAGGGGGAGGGACAAGGTCCGTTTCAAATATTCATAAAAAGAAAAACACAAAAGACAGAAACTGACAAGATGCATCAAAGACACACGGAAAAAGAAAGAGACAAGAAAATACATCAAACGCTTGCAGAACCATCAAATACTTGAGAAAAATTGTTTTCTCGAATGCTTAAAGGGCACTGATTGATTCCAAGAAAATACAGCAAACGCATTCCACGCATGAAAGTCACATGTAAAGATGAAATCAAAGAAATACATCAAGCGGACATGAAAGATGCACATGTGGGACAGACAAACATGAAATCGACACACCAACAGCAAAGACACGTTGAAGGCAAGGACTCAAAGTCAGACGAACAAACTTAAAAAAGACGTGCAGAACCATCAAATACGTGAGAAAAAAATGTGTTTTCTCGAATGCTTAAAGGGCACTGATTGATTCATTGATTGATAAACCGTAGACGTCAAAGACCTGCTCAAAGCAGTTTGGGGTTTTTCATGATCAATGGTTTTTATTTCATTCGATTTTTTTTTCCGAGTTTTGTTTTAATTTGAAGGTAGTTTGTATTCATTTCTTTTTAAAAAAATGCTTCATTTGAGTTTGCGTTGGTTTTAGTCTGAGATTTGTGTGGCGAGCGAGAGCGCGCGCGCACCTGTGGGCGGCAGCTCGTACTCCACCTCGAGCAGAACTCGCTCGCCGACGTTCTTGAGGAGGCTGATGATTTCCTCGTGCCGCAGTTTGGTCAAGTTGATGCCGTTCACCGACTTGATGTAGTCGCCCACGTTCAGCTGGTCGCTCCTGCGTAGCCGCCGCGACAAGTCATCACGTCAGCGCGCGAGCGCCCCCCCACGTCCGGCGGCATACATATTACGTACCGAGCGGCCAGCCCGCCGGGCCGCAGGTTGGAGACCCGCGGCTTGCCGTCCTTGTCCGTTCCTCCAGAGATCGTCAGGCCCAGCGTGCTGCCTTCCTTTTTCACCAGCTCCACCATCGTCACCCCCCGCAGTGCTTCTAAGCAAAACGCACACGCGCGCGCGCGCACGCACACACACACACACACACACACACACACACACACACACACACACACACACACACGGACAGAAACAACAGGTGAGATGGAGCGGTGCTGTGATAGATTAGCAAGATTAGCTGAATCACCGAGGCGACACTCACGATCAGCGAGGCGCTTCACATCCCAAAACACACACAGACACACACACACACGCGCGCGCGCACACGCACGCGCACCGCAGAGAGCATGCTCATTAATGAATCACACTAGGCGTCATATTTGCATAAAAGTGGAGTTCACTTGTCGAGAGATGAATTCTTGTGTACATGGCACGCTTGCGTAAACGTGTTATGATGTCTGCCATTGTGTGTCGCGGTGGATTTGTCACAAATTGTACGGTGACGACATATGTTACGGTATGTCGTGATGTATGTTTTTTTTTTTATAGTGTGTTCAAAAGGTTTGTTGATGGCGGTTTGGTGGTGCGACATGCCTGGTATGCTGAGTCTCCTCGAGGCGGTGTTGTTGTGTTCCGGTCCGGAGACGTCCTTCGTCTTTCCATACGGTCCATCATCTGCACACGACAACAAGCAGGTGTAAGGAGGCCTACTGGACTTCCATACGATGACGTGACGTGTCCCAGTTTACTCGCTACACTGTCACATGAGCTCAGGCAGGTCCCAGGCAGTGATGGGCTGCTGGCAAAGGCCAAAATGCTGAGATATGTTTTATTTTATTTTTTAAATTTGCATTTATTTTTATTTTTTTTTACCGAGCGCACATACTTCCATACGATGACGTGACGTGTCCCAGTTTACTCGCTACAGGTCCCAGGCAATGACGGGCTGCTCGCAAAGGCCAAAATGCTGAGATATGTTTTTTGTTTGAATTTGCATTTATTTTTATTTTTTTTTACCGAGCGCACATACTTCTTAAACGGACACACAAACACTGAAAAATGCGCGTTTAAGTACATACGCACACTTTTTTTCACGTTTGCAATAGCAAACATACACGAGCACACGTACACACAAACATACGCGCGTTATGACCAACATCATTTGAAACACACGCACACACGGACACGCCAACCCAAACACGCGTGCGCGTTTAAGTACATACACACACTTTTTTCACGTTTGCAATAGCAAACACACACGAGCACACATACACACAAACATACGCGCGTTATGACCAACATCATTTGAAACACACGCACACACGGACACGCCAACCCAAACACGCGCACGCACGCACGCACAGACACGGACACC